TATAAATGTTGCCATACCCATGTATGAATGAATATACCTATAACATCAATATAATATTTATAATACAATTTAAATTCTATAATTAATTTATTCCATGTCAATATATATGTACACGACTATATATGTATATGAGTGGGTATATCTATCCTAATGCTCTTATATGTATATATCACTGGGATAAAGTTTTTATAGAATCATTAAAAATGTATGCTGTTTAAACTTTATTATTAAAGCATGGAATATTAAGCAATGTATCTATATTATGGATTATGATTTTATAATTGTATATAAAAATATGTACTGTTGTTGTTGATATAAAAAGTTTTAGCGATATCTGGTTGTGCTACTCCAAAACACAAGGACCTTCGAATGATTGACCTTTAACGTGATTTAGATTTTCTCCAGCATAAGATAACAAAGGAGATACTTCTATATCGTTTGTTACACTTATTGCTCCTGCATTTAGCAACCACTTTCTATGAAGTTCGAGCAAATCATTACGAGCAGTACTTGGACAATCTTGACCACTCGAATCAGCATTTTTAAGAGGACTAAAGTCTTCCTGGCGATTACCCTCCCAAACTGCTAGACGTTCTGCAAATTTGAATACGTCGAACACAAATTTTTCTATTTTAATACCATTTGGAGCTGTAGGACTTTGTTTCTGTCCATTTGCATCTACATATGGAATCTTCTTTTTGGCAATATGCAGTTGCATCTCTTTTTCATAGTTGTCGCCAATCGCAGACAAAAAATCTACAGTAAAGTAGTGGTTACATATGTTTGCAGCATTATAAACCAACGTTCCATTGTTGTAACGTAATTCAGTTGTTTCTTTTGAAATTTCACTGTACTCAACAACCTGGTAACTATCGTCTACCTAAAACAACGATAATAATATAACAAATGTTTTCACTAATAGTATCTGATAAACAATTGTGAAAATTATCAACATACTTTACACACAACTCCTACCGCTTCGCTTGGCGATGATTTTTCTATCACCTTGACTCCACAATCCGTATACGATGATAAACAATATCCTAAGAAGATAGGATCGGCTACCTTTATCAGGATGTTATCTACCGAATGAACGTGGACACTGCGTATTCCGCGTTGTAACATATCATCTAATATTCCTTGGACTTTTAGTGCTTGATACAATCCTCCATTACCATCTGGTGCTTTTGAGATTTTATGTTTCTCATTTAAAATGATTTTTCCCTCAAAAGTGAAACACGGCATCATGCCCTGCTTGAAGGCCTTCACATTATTCTCTTTTAAGTTGAAATAATTATGTTCACGCAGAAACTCAAGAGTAGTGTCATGAGTGGCTTCGCTGGTTAATATGTACCTGATGAAAGAGAATAATTATTAGTTAACTTATATCTTATTAACATTGCATTAACACATACATATTTTTTTATATATACCAAGTAATCTCTCCTCGTTGTCCATATTCTGCCTCTGCTATATTTTCCAAACGAATGATTCTTTCTGCTTGCAATTGAAAGAGAGTTTTACCAGAGGGTAATCCAACATCATACATCCCTTTAGGGTAAGAAACTCCTAATCGAGTACCTTGACCCCCTGCCATTAACACCACTGCTACTTTACCATTTGCAATTTCTTGCAGCCCTAATTTCTCATATATTTTTATTTGTTCTCCACTTGTTGTCTTAACAGAGCCAATTCTTTCCTTAGGAATAGGGGACACCTTATCATCCAATGAACCTCTTTGCATAGAAGAGGAAACATGCATAGCTCTCTCGTAACACAGAGTGACTTCCTCAAGATTCAATTCCGTTATGTCTTGGCGAAGTTCGTCTCTTTCCTTCTCTGATAATTGGTCCCAAAATTGTAACAGATGTTCTTGGCCAAAAGCGGCAAGATTTCGCCGTAAAACTTCCATGTCTGCGTTTGTTTCTCAATTTGACAGTACTACAACCACGTTCCCGGCGAAGTGTCAACTTATCGTAATAACGTTATCAGGAACTTTATCGGCAAGCTTTGCGATACGTGTTCGCGTTACAGTTTTATAACGGTACATCGGAGAGAGTGTGCTTAAGACGCCTGGAGCAACAGGTATCTCGTCGGGTCTGGTAACCTATCCCAACTCATAGATGCGATGTGTCTAAAACGTGTCAAGCAACAGGTGTCTTGTCAAGGCCACAGAATAAGTATTCTGTGTCCAGATTGGTAACCTATCCCAATTCATAGGTAGAGAGGGGTAGCATCACTTTCACGATTCCACGTAGCAAGTTGATATTTCTTTTATTAGCCCCTCTTGCCCTTCCAATGTTTTCAACGATTTTCCATCTACCTTCCAACATACATGTACATATGTACTTTACTGTTACAATAGCGCATCGTTGATTGTAACACATCCTTGAATTTTATTCTTTTTTCGATCTATCAGTCGTATCAGTCAATAGAAGATGCAAAGGCCGTAACCTTTGTCCTACACAATTCTTATTAGATACCTACTTCTATGATCATCTATACATGTAGACAGCAAACTATTTACTTACATACATACATACATACATACATATGTACGCACGTACATAATACTTTTGCAAGAACAATCTCGATTTATCGACGATAGCGATAGATGAGACTGAAAAGTGAAAGGCGAGGCAATGCAATACGTCCTTGCATCCACTTATGCGAAACGAAAATATATATTCAACAGCATGACAAGTACAGGAACATTACCAAAAAATTTAGAAAATCAAAATTTGTGAATGTTTTATATCACACTAGAATATTTTCTTATGTATAATTAGTCGCAATCTGTGACATTTAATTTAATTGACCAACAATGTTCAACTCTATCGATACATATTTTCTCTATGTACACATTTTTGAGTATGCAGTCAATACGAACAACTGTACATATATGTATATACATATGTATGTAGCAATTTTGTCCAAGAGCATATAGAAGCGAAAGTATACATGTACATCAAAGGCAAATGAGGCAAAAAATTTAAGCCCTTTGCTTGGCCGTTGATTGTTCGTTTACGGATATTGAAAAATAGGAGATTGTTAAAATACATTCACACTACACATTCTCCTTCAACCCCTGCCTACTCGTGCTGTTTGTACATACATATATCGCATATGTATGCATGTACACATTCTTTGCCTCTATGCTGCGTGCTTTTTATCCCCACCATTTCATTACGCATCTAACTACGCGCAGCAGACATATCAGAAAGAAAAAAAACAATGAACAAGAGAGATAGAACAAAAGCACGCGGGCTCACGTCATGCTATGTTCTTTCTCTCGTTTGGCGCTAACTATGTACATACAATGTATGTATGGACATGTAATCTCTCATTGACTGCAGCCACGAAGGCAGCACTGTCGCAGCAGCGAATTGTCAGCCAATCAGGGTACAGGAATTCTTTTACTTGCCTCTTGTATATGTATATACTGCACAATCTGCAGCCTGTATTGTGTTGTATGTATAATATGTATCCATATATATCGTAAACTATATAACTGACCGTGTGTTGTTACCTGATGCTACCTTATCCTAATAAATAATATTTTTGTACATACAATATAATATAACAATCTAATACAAGTATGTAACATACGATGCAATATGTACTTTCACTGTATGTATTTAATTAACATAATAAGAATTTTATTAATGTATTATCGCATGACTATGTATATCTATATATGTATATACATACAAACGCTATACGCAATATCGCAGTTTCTATGCATGTCCGACAGGCTACGTCAATCATTTTCTCTTGAAATTGAAGTTTTCCTACAAATATGTATTATATCTTCTAATATGTTGTTCTTTAAGCATTAACTTAATTCGTATTATAAATTACTATCATATTCAGATACCCCCATGCAAACTAATAACTTAAGACCAAAGAGATTACGGTGATAAAATTGTGTCGTAAAAATCTCTCTCGATGTGATTGTTTTTTAGTATTAGGCAATACGCTAACAAAGCTTTGCTAGCATTTTTTTTTACACGGCCAAGTATATAAATAAAATAAGTTGTACCGCTATAAGTTGACACGTGATGTAAAATTTAAAATATATCGCCAATTAAGGGTTAGTAATAGATCGCGACATACGGTGGCGCTCGAAAATTCTCTGTTAGAGCTCAATGCAATACAGACGTGATCTCAATATTTCGTTTAAGTTACACGCGCGTTTGCCTGTGACTTACGAAGAGACATCATGTTGTACGTGGCCAAATAACATTTCTTACGATGCCGCGGCAATACTACGGCTGTAATAATAAGTTACGTGTAGCGGTGTGATATGTTTACACGTTCATGATACAGTACTCGCCCGTCGTAAATGTATTTCAGTGAGTTACATGTACAGCCACTTCTTATTATACACCTCCAGTTCCAGCGTATTGCTGACATGTAGGATTTCTTTAAAAAAAAAATATTCGTCATCAATTGTCATGCAAGTTACACGACCGATTGCTGTATTTATCGCGACGACTGCTCGGTATTGTTTCGTAGGCCATTCTTTCCGCTCCTACAAATTCATGAAATTTTTAACCGTGTATCTCCGATTATATTACGATTATGCCACGAATTTATTTTCTCTTCTATTACTTCGTCAATATTTATTATTTCAATGTTATATACGTTCGCTATAGGTTAGGAAAAACGTCCTTGAGTTCTAGAGATATTTTAACGTTGTATTATTCATTAAAATGTTGTTCTTATTTGAAAGTATCAAAACTAACGTAGAGGTTAGCAATCTGTAGAATTTTGTATTTCCACTACATTATTTGTTTCCGACTGGAATACAGTATCATTGCTATTTCTCCAAGGATCTCCATATAGTATATTGGAGTAATTTTCAAATCAAAAACAAGATTGGGTTGCTCTATCTCTCAAGTATCATGCTCTTTTTATGAAAAGTTTTATCTAATGCTAAAATTTGTTTAACTTAGGTGCCAGGTGCTTAAGAAGCAGCTGGCAAGATGGGAAAATTGTTGTCAAAGATCTTTGGCAACAAGGAAATGCGAATTCTTATGTTAGGATTGGATGCTGCTGGGAAAACTAGTATCCTTTATATGTATTCTTTTATTTGTATAGGATTTATAAACAAAAAACATAACAATTTGTAGTAAAGCAATGCTACATTTTATGCTAATGTTATTTTCTTAATTATATATTAGCGATATTATATAAACTTAAACTAGGACAGTCTGTAACAACTATACCAACTGTAGGATTCAATGTAGAAACAGTTACCTATAAGAATGTTAAGTTCAATGTTTGGGTTAGTAGTATCTAATTTATCATATATGTCAACAGTGCTATACATACCAGTTTTTACAAGGTATTCATTTTGGTTTTCAGGACGTCGGTGGTCAAGATAAAATACGTCCATTATGGCGTCATTACTACACAGGAACACAGGGACTTATTTTTGTAGTAGACTGTGCAGATAGAGATCGTATCGACGAAGCGCGTCAAGAACTTCATCGAATTATAAACGATAGAGAAATGCGAGATGCTATAATTTTAATTTTTGCGAATAAGCAAGATCTTCCTGATGGTGAGCATTATTATTTGTAAACATAATATTTTGAGGCCATTGTCGATAGAGGCCAATATTTTGAGGCCAAATGTATTGTCTCTATTATAATTTTTAGCAATGAAACCACATGAAATACAGGAGAAGTTGGGTTTAACTAGGATACGAGACAGGAATTGGTATGTTCAACCATCATGTGCCACAACAGGGGATGGGCTTTACGAAGGTCTTACATGGTTGACTAGTAATCATAAATTATGAGCAAATATTTATTTTTCATCGATTAGTCGCATACCAAGAATGTACGTTTGCTTTGTTTTTTCACTTTTTATTTATCATGTAGAGGCTCTGTAACGCAACTGACAATGATCGCTATGATCCATAAGAGAGAAGAAATCACTTTTACCATACAATTGCAAATACAAGACATCCATTATTATCGAATGGTGCGTTTCAGTAATATTAATGCTATATAAATAGAAATTTATCAAAGTACCAAAAGATATAGACTTTGTTACTAACTGTTTACTGAAGTCCATGAAAATAGTTATTACATTATTAGGTTAACATGTTCATCATTTTATCATAATTTAAATGTATGTATATGCGCGTGCGTATCGCATTATGTTACTAATTGTAAGGGAACATGAAAAATATGTACCTATTGTGGTACATTAGGGATTGCATTTAAAGAAAAGAAAAATATCTTTGCAACTAAAAGTAATTGTTTATGCAATAATCGATTGAAATTTTCATTCTTGAAATTGATATTCAATTGGTTATTGTTGATGCTACGTAATCCGTATCATGTAATATTCATATGTATAATCTCATCGATATATGTAAGTAATCCTTTGAAGAACTTACACTAACGGTTCGATATAACACCAGAATATTACTCACTGATAAAACTTTGTTACTATTCAGATGCATCAGAGTATTTTGATGATTTCGTTTGTATCTCTTTTAGTGTGATTGTCTTCCATTTCTGTCAGGACTTAACGCATATCGGATGGTTTTCATTTTCAAACTCCTTTATGTACGGTTTCGTGTGTATTTCATCGTCATGTTTTATTGAAATTTATTATAATACATCTAGACACACATACACATATAGAGTGGTGAAGTTGTTCTGTACGCACAAAAAATGAGCCGCAAGATTTAATACTATACGACAGTTCCAATCTGTTACTATTACAAGCTCAAAACGGAAAAACTAAGAAGGAAGGAAATTAAGAACAATGTTACTAATGTAACAGCATTAAATTTGCCAATATTTTTTACCAGTTAAGCAATTAAATAATGCAGAATTAGGATTAGGTCTCAAGAGAAAGAATCAGTACATGTTTACTGCAAGTCTCGTTTTTTTTTTTTTTTGAAATAGTAATCTCTAGAATAAGATGATGAACGTAATATTTATCGACATTTATCGATTTTAGTTAATTCGACAAAAGAAAGAACTTCGTCGACATTTAAATTCCATTTTTTATCGGGTTACGAATTTCATACTTGCATAACAAAATACCACTAAAAACTGAATGATAGCGGTGTGTTACTATTTGAATGAATTGCTATATCGATATTTTAATTTGCATTCCACGATTATATTAAGGTATTAGGATTTTAACAAATTGTATTACTTTATATAAAATATCAGCAATGGTATTCAGATATATAAGTTTGTCGGATTCTTTTTCTTGGCATCCGTACCAACTAATATTTCATCCTGATACAATTGAAATAGAGTACTGCCGATGAATGCGGGTAATTTTGACTTACAGTGTATCTTTTGACAAATTCATTTTGAAAGAAATCGGTAACGGTATTATGGCAGAGTAGATGTGTCATGTCATTCTTGATGGTACAATGATAAGAAGAACCGGCTTCTCAAAGGTTACAGCTGGGGCAGGTCAGTACTATAATAGTACAGTACCTGGCAATCGCAGGGTTTGTGAGAATTAATAATATTCACCTTGCGATCAATGAAAACTAAATAACTGATATTTATGGCCATGGGCAGGCTTTGGAAAAGCAGTAACGTACTATTTGCTAGGCACGTTCATCAGTATTGAACAGTGTCCTATGGGTATACATGCTTATACCGCATCATTACCATCAATTTTGTGTTCATACGAAAGAAATTAGTATGTCATTTTCTTCGTTTGTTTTAATTATAAGCAAAAAGAACAGGATATTTGTAGCAGAAGTAGTTTTGTTTAAGACTAGTTGTTGTTAAAAAAAATACTTGTTCCACTATA